CAAGGTTTTTGAACCTCTAAAAAGCTGTTCACAATCATCCAGCTGTTTTCAGCACTGCTGTATCTCCAAGCACAGCAACACAAAAGGTGCATTTCCTTGTTGCACACTTACCTGAGGAGAGAAAATGGCTGGTGGCAGAGAGACATTAATGTGTGCCTTCAGTTCCTCCAGGAGGACACGACTGGCAGCAAGCACCCCCTGCAACACAAGTCCTGAGTCACCAATCAAGGGCAAGGCAGTCCAGATACTCCACAAACATCAAACCAAGGTGGTTCTTTCATGTTCTTTTACCTTTTTTCCAGCATTTTTACAAGGAAAGTTCTACACAGACTGCTTGACATGATAACCAGGGAAAGCTGAGGCTTTACAGCACTAATTCCTGCCCATTTTGTTCTCTGATCCACCTCAACACTACAAGACAGAGACAGCACTGAGCTGCAAGCACAGTTCAGCCATTTCCTGTGGCACTTAATGCTCCTGAACCACAACATTTTGCCAAATATGACATTTGGCTGACAGCACAAGAGCCTTTGATGAGGTGCTGTAAAAGTTAACTTTCCTATTTAGGAGAACAAGCCCATGCCCACATCAGAGGAAGGTTGCACCCATTTCCCAGCCCTGTCCCAGTTACCTTTTGGAAGTCAAGGGGTGGCTCTTTCATGGCTAAGGGATGGAGGTGCCCACTTTTCTCCAGCAAATGGCTACTACCCAAGATCATGATGAGGGAACTCCAGCATTTAGGCTGAAAGACAGCAGAACTTTTGTTTTATACAGTCAAATCCAGAGATGTAAACTATTTGGAGAGAAAAGGGCTCTGAGAGTGTGTCTGAGAGTGAGAAGCAACAGGACAAGACAGGCAATACACAAACACTTGAGGGGCCACAGAAAGTTCTAATAGAGACTCACATTCCTGTAGAGTAACATGTTGCTGTAAAGGAGTTTGAGGGCCTGCTTGACTAGGACACTATCTTTCAAGGGAGACCCTGCAAGAGGAAAAAACAACCAAAACATATCTTGTAACACATCTGAGTAACTCCACAGTGTGAGCACAAACAAGGTATTAACTTAGGATTAGAACATAAGAAGAGAACAAGCATCTGCAGCTATTTTACAGGAGGTTCTGAATAGAACAATATCACCAACTGTAAAAATCTTACTCTAGAAAGCTCTAAAGAAGTGAATACAGTTTAGGCTAAGCCATCACAGGGCAGAGTCTTCACTATGTACCTCACAGCACAATACACACAGTCACTACCTCATATGGTGAAGCACAACCAAAACATATCTTGTAACACATCTGAGTAACTCCAGTGTGAACACAAACAAGGTATTAACTTAGGGTTAGGGTTTCTACAGAACATAAGAAGAGAAGAAGCATCTGCAGCTATTTTACAGGAGGTTCTGAATAGAACAATATCACCAACTGTAAAAATCTTACTCTAGAAAGCTCTAAAGAAGTGAATACAGTTTAGGCTAAGCCATCACAGGGCAGAGTCTTCACTATGTACCTCACAGCACAATACACACAGTCACTACCTCATATGGTGAAGAACTATTAGTAGCTGTACACCTCCAAAATAAAGCCTTCATTTCAAAATACACCTTGAACAAGTAGCACACACCAGGACAGATGATGGCAGCTATCAGTGGCCAAACTAATGACAGCATGTAATAGATTGTGAAACCTTTTCTACCAAGCAGCTTTTATTCTCAAAGTCAAGGCTGAGACACACCGTGAGCTGTTACACACTGCCATTGGTAGCACCATGATGTGACAGAGAGTTTTGTATTTTAACAGGTTGCTTTCAGGAAAACAACTTCACAGCTGACAAAACCAGTGTTTTGTGTGAAGGGCTCCACACAAATTCATGGTCAAACATGAAGACACTCCCTGCCTAGTGCTACGCACCACGTTCAGCGCAGACCATTCACAGCTGGGTTCAGAATCCCTCAGAACCTCTTTGTTACAACTTTTAAGTGACTATGAGCAAGAAATCACACTTACCAACTGCCACCCAGGGCCCAGAGTCCAGCAAATCCTTCCCAGTGGGCACGCTGCCTGTCCTGAACATCTTCAGGTAGAGCTCGAAGTGGAGGGGGGTGATGCGGCAGGCGGTGCAGCACGCCAGGCTGTTGACAGGGAACAGCAGCGAGTGGGCAGCGTCCAGGAAGTCTCCAGTCTTACACAAATAGAAGGGGATTTTGTCTCGAAGGTCTCTCAAGCTGGAAAGGAGGAAGAATCCCAGCGTGGTGGGGTTGGAAGGGAGCTTTGGAGGTCATCTTGTCCACCCCCCCTGCTCCAGCCGCTCACCCGCAGCAGGGTGCCCAGGGTCACATCCAGGTGGGTTTGGGATCTCCCCAGAGCAGGATGGGTACTTCGCCGGAGCAGGAGACTCCACAGCCTCTCTGGGCAGCTGCTCCAGGCTCTGCCCCCTCCCCAAATAAACCTCTGATTTTCATTAACATGAGAGTTTTACAACAGGCACATCCAGATCTGATCATGCCTGATCACTAGTTACACCCAATGAGGCAGAAGTCAAATCACTCTGTGATTAAGTGAAAGCAAAGTGCAACATTGCTTTCAAAGAGCTGCCTGCACACTACTGCTGCTTCTTCTGCCAGGGGAGTACACACAGACTGGGACACAAACTTCAGGAAAAGAAGTCATTGGAGGGGGAAAAAACAGGAGGAAAAAAGCCCTTTACCCTTTGGTGTCGTTGCATTTCACAGCCCTCAGGTAGCGAACAACTTCTTTATAGCTGGGGAGGAAAAAAAAGAGAGTGACTAGGAAAAGGATGTGCAGAGCTACAGAGAGGTCAGTCAAATATTTACAACCATGAAGCAAAACAGGAGATCTTCCCACACGAGAGATGGTGCACAACAGGACAGAAATACACCTGGCAGAGACAGTTGGATCCAAGTTCCAAGAAGCTGTCCGCAGATTAGCTCTGTCCTCCAGCAAAAGAAAACAGGAGGTTGTCTCCAGTTCAGCTCTTTAAGTGGATTGTATTCTTTTGAATACAGACTAGAATGCATTTTTTGCTGTCTTCCACCTAGTCAGCCTTTGATGAACAGGGTTTGTTTTAAACATCCACATCTAAAACCTACTGGGGTTATGGAAACAAAGAAATGATCCACTTCAACTTTTCTTTTCTGGCCCTGAAGTGTTCAAAGAGTTTGATTCTGCTTTGAAAAGGCTTCAAAAAGCTGCTGGCCGTGTTGATAAGCAGCAATGGGCATGAAGAGCTTTAAATGTCTCTTTGTTTTGTACATCTCCCCATTATACAAAACTCCTGGAGATGTTAGGGGGAAAAAAAACCCCACACTGCAACACGTATGAGTTCATAAAACAATAAAAACCCCAAACAAAGCTAAACTGCTCTTACTTCTTTTTGTCTACCAGTTTCTCCACTCGAGCCTCAATCACAGGGAGTGTTTCCCACAGAAATACTTTCCTTCCTTTCTGTGTTCTTCGACCAGTGATGTTCTGGCCTTTCAAAACAGTGGTCAGTAATACATGGTCCCAGGGCACAACATTTAAGCTGGAAGGACAAAAGTCAAAAGTCATTTTTAACCAGGATTTATTTTTTTTGTACACCACAATTTATTTCTCTCAAGTAACAGGAAGATTTAACAATAAAACATTGAGATTTACAGCTCAAAAAGAGAAATACAAAGCAGCCAATGCTGAAATCTCCCTATAAAGTGCTCACACCTAATGCTGTCAGTGAAAGAACTATTTTATACAGCTGCTTTCCAACCAGGCAACTGCATAAACCCCACAGATTCTGGAAACAAAAACCCCAAAGAACATACCTATTTGAGAAGCCAAAACAGTGACAGGGAAGTGAGATGGACTGAAAGAAATGAACAAACTTTTCATACAGGGTTTTGGGAAAGTCACACAACACCAACATCTTCTGAAGCTGTGTTGTGATCCTGCTTGGAAAAGGAGGAAAAGAAAAACAAAAATAGTTTAAAAAAAAATTTAATTTCTTACTTTAAAACTGCAGGAAAGTTAAAAAAATTCAAGAATGGTAATTTAAAACTAAAGCTGCTACAGGATTTAGGTTATACCTGTCATTAATAAGGGGTGAGAACATATCACAGGGTTTGAGTGCTCCTGAAAAAAGTTAATTTTTAATTCATTAACCTTCTGTTGCAAGTGAATTTTGGGTTAAAGGTGAAATAAAAATGAGGAATGACTTAAGCCAAGTGAGCTGTCCTCATTCATCAGCCTCTGGGGGAATTTGACTGTGTTACAGCCCTTGCTGAGTGCCACAAGGCTGCTGTTTTGATCTTTAACAGACACTATTTACTCTGGCTTACCAAGCAGCAGCTAGCTACCTGACACCACCTTCAGCTCTGCTCTCCCAGAACTCATCCAGACCACAGCTGAAAAGTAATCTTTCCTCTTGGCTTGGAGCTCCCCATGGAGTTATTCTCCTCTGAGGCAGCAAGAAAGGGTTGGAGTGTTTATGTGGCTCTGAAAAAGGCAGGTATGGCCCTTGTCCTTCACAGGAAGGGGCTAATACTCAACAGTGCTTCTAAAAAAACCTCATTTGCAGTGCACCACTGCAGGATCTGATTGCAGGCTGAGGTCCCTGCTCCTTGGTGCATGTCAAGGGTCACATTCTTCTGCCCACCACTGTCCAGCTGCAGTCTACATGCAGGCAGCAGCAGCAGCTCTTGCTCTACTCAGTGCCTAAGACAGCACAGGGGGGTCTTGCTCCCTGATAAGGAGTTCCTGATGCTGCAGAACCATAATTTACACCTCTGTGCAAGTCTGCTTTTGGCTTTTAGGAGCTAAAGCTTTCACTTTGTTAATTTGTGCCTTTGAATAGAAGGCATCTCAAATGCCAGCAGAAAGTCTGCAGCCCACAACCACCCCACTGCTACCTCAACATCACACAAGACAAGTCTTACCTCTGCAGGAGACAAGGGACAGCAATCTTTAGTGAAGCAGTGTGACCAAGGTTCTGCCAGCTCCTAACAGGAGAGGAAAAAACACCCCACAATTCACCTTTGGCTTCTTTTCCTGCTTTACCCCCTTTATACTCAATTATTTAGGAAAATGCTTTTCTTACAAAGCACTGGGAACAATCATCCTAATAAAAATGACTCCAAAAGGGTACTGAAAGACCCTCCCCAATAAAGTCTCCAGCCCACTCCTTGCAAACCTTGATGGTTCCTCAGAGAGAACTACAGAGGAGCTGCTATTTCTGGCCTGTCAAACCAACCCTGACCATGTTTACTTCTCCTTGACTAAAAAAACCCTTTGAATTTAAGTCCCAAAATATTTAGGTCTTGCAAAGCAAGGCTCTGGCACCTTACAGCTATGAATAAAGAAGAAAATAACCAGCACAAGTAGTAAAGGCAGAAGTGTTTAGAGCCTGGGTTTAGTTATTTATCATGCAGTCCTCCCAGCTGACAGGTCAGCTGCAGACTTAGGGGAGGCAGCTACAACTTACTACCCAAGGAAAACACAACCTCCCTTCCTTCCAGGTCAGGAGCAGAAGTATCTTCACACTATGCAGCTCAAATCCTCTCCTCTCAGGAGAGCTGCTCTGCCCCTTCACCTTGTCCTGAGGAACTGAGCCCACCTGCTGTCACCCTTCTCCTCCCAGTCCCCACCTCAAACTCCTTCCCCTCCTAGAAGAACATCTCCCCTCCTCATACCTCAACCCCACTTAACTCCTTCCTCTCACATCCAACCTCCACCCTTCTCTTTTCCCTCAAATCCCTCCCCCAAACCATCTCATTTCTCCTTCAAGTGGACTAATTTCCTCTCCCTGTGCCAGGGCTGTGATCTTACACTCTCCTTGAGAAAGTTTTGAGTTCACATTTATGACCTAGTCTCCTCCCTCTGAGGTGGAAATGACAATCACACAGGAGATGTGCAACTGGATACTTACAAAGCAGGGTCTTTATGAAGTGCTATCTCTTTAGCTGCTCCCAGAAGCATGACAGCAGCAGCTTTAGGACTTTCTTTTTCTGCCTGATCTAAAAATCTTGTCACCAGGGCAAAAACTCCAGAATACCTAAGGAAATAAAGCAGGAGGTAAGACAGAGCATCTGCAACTGAGCACTTTGTAAACAAATGGCAGTTCTGGCTTCTACAGTTTGAGAGCAAGCTGACTTGCCTTCCCTCAAAAAGCACCTGTAACATTGGGAAGAGTGACTTGCACAACCATTAAGGGCACAGAGAAGCTGAACACTTCTAAAATACACATTTAGTAACCATACAGCCTTCACTTTCATGCTTCCTCAGGTTATAACAACAGGGATATCATCAAAGGTCTCAGCATAGCACTAGAGATGTTTTCAAAGAGCTCTTTAAGGGGTGTGTAAACTACCTCCAAGTGCCATTTCACAGCTCAGGGGCCAAGCCAGTCCTCTCACACTTCTTCTGCCTCAGGTGCCATGATTCTGACAGCCACCCAAAGGAGACCCACCCCCTCCCTGGGCAGCACACACTGCCAGCAGCAGAGCCCTGCCACTCACTTGTACACCACCTCTGTGTTGCGTGACCTGCAGACGTTGCACTGCCCAGGAGGCAGTTTTGGGAGGCAGAAGCATTCATGCTTTGTGGGAGGCATTTTTTCTCCAGCCAGATACTTATTGTATTCCACAGAAAGCTCCTGGATAAATTTTATTAGAAGACTCCCTAAAAGAACAGACAGATGGGGGGAAAAAAAAAAAAGCAGTAATAATTTCCCATTTTATTTTCAAAACTAACAGAAAGGCCCCTGTGAGATGTTTAACAAGTTACTTACACCCAGGTTCATTAGCTAGGAAAGATTTATTGCCTCCTCCATAAAAATAGAAGCATATGAACTGGACCTGCAGACCTCTGAGTATGGCCCAGAGAGCAACACCAGCAAGCTGCTGCCTTTAAAAACCCACCAAGCCCTCAGGAGGTGAGCTGTGGAGCAGCCAGGTCGTCCCCCCAGCCAGGAGAGGATGAGGGTGTGGGGCTTACCACCGTGTCGAAGGTCTGAGTCTATGTCTGTGAGCTCCAAATTGAACATGACAAGGACTCCAGCCAAGGCAAAGTCACGCTGGTCCTTCCAGAACTTGCTCTTGTTGTGTGCATTGCAGTGGCAGAGGGAAGGGGTCGTCCACATCTGGCACTGTTTTGGACAACAGAAACAAAACAGGGAAAGTTTTGGGTGGTTTTTTTATATTATTTTACTCCAGTTGAGCCAATCTGAAGTTAAATCCCCTTCTTCTCCAAGAGAAGGGCTACAATTCACTTCATCCTTTACACAGAGCCACAGTGAATGATGACAGTGAGGGCAAGAGGCCAACGTGGCATGACCTTGATGCTATGGCTTTAAAATTTAAACCAAACCCACAGTAATTTACCCTCTTTGCTGAATACCTTCCAGAGACACTCGGGGCTGGCACCCTCCCCACTGTAAATCAGTGACAGAGCACTGGCCTCCTGTGTTCACTCCAACTTAGTTCACAGTTCAAAGTTTTCTGAAGTCTAAGTAAACCCCCCCAAAAAATCTCCACATGCCCAACACCTGCCCCCTACTCCTCAGGGCAGGGAAAACTACAAGCTGGACATTTCTCTACAGTGCTGAGCAGCAAAGTCTGATTTCTATGAGATCCAGCATGTACCTAAGGCAAAGAGGAAGAAAATCTGCTCCAACAAAGTGAATTCCTCCTCCAACAACTAGTAGAAAAACTCAGTGACCATGGTTTTAGTTTAGTAGTCTGTGAAGTAGACAGCTTTCAACATTTAGGAGAGGGGCTGTTAAAATCATCACATTTCATCTATCATTTATTCTTTGAGTGTGCTTCAGAGTGGTTTCTTTTAAAAAGCCTGTTGAGCAATTCAGTTGACACAGAGTTGTGCATTTCCCCCTTGCAGCTTTGCTTACCTCAGAGGCTAGTTTGTCACAAATGTATTTGCTTACCTCAGAGGCTAGTTTGTCACAAATGTAGCAGTAGCACTGATTACAAATATCAGCATTTTTCCCAAGGGGGGAGCACGTATCACATTCCATCCTCCTGCAGGGGGGGAAAAAACCAGAATGTTATTTATGAAACAAGCTGCAGACTCCTCCAGCTCCAGTGCTTTCAGCTGTTAGGAAGCTAACAAGGTCACTTGACAAGAGGGACTGAGTTTGGGGAGTGAAACCCCCCCCCCAGCCCTGCACCTACTCAAAGGGGTGTATTGTACAGTCGTATCTGGCGTGAGGCATCACGTTGGCTTGTTTACAAAAAGTAACCACCAGTTCACATTCCTCATCCACAACTTCTTCAGATTTCTCTCCTTCCTGGGCAGACTTATCTGTAGAAAAGAGAAACATGAGGAGAAAACAGAAAAGAGAATGTGTGGTGCAAGTACAACTACTCCAACCTCACTACAAGCTCCACCAGACGTTGACATTTGCTTTTTAAAAGCTCCCTGAGGATTTCACACGGTGCCAAGAATGGTGTGCTGGCCTGGGACAAAAAAACCTCCCCACACTATCAAAACAGAGGTAATTTAATCAAAAAGGATCCCATCAACATTGGAGAGGCCCAGTCTCAGCTGGATTTACAGGGTTTTTGAAACCACCCAGCAGTATCCTTTAAGGTAATCAGTGCCATCAAAGAAATCCCCAAAGCTACAAAATAAAGGCAGTTCTTCCTGCTCTTGTTTTTCTAGCAGCAGTGAGGTGTTTCAAGCATATCACATAACATTTTACACCACTTCACTTCAAAAGTTCTTCACAGAACTTCATTGACAACAAGATGGGAGCTTACCCAGTGAGTCCACTAACAGAACTGAGCTCCCAAGGGTGCTCTCAGCTTCGTCATCACTGATCAGGATTATGCCCTGCTCTTCCTTGCCTCCTTTTGATGGCCCCATGGTTACAGAACTCCACTGGAAAGGAGCTATTTGGCAGCGAATAAGACGTGAGGTTAGTTCCCACTTTGAAGGTCCTTTCTTCAGGAAGGGAAGAAAAAGACTTCTCCAACACCCAATCTCTTCATCTCTGTTGAGGATGTTACACTAGGGACAGAAACATTTCACCTGCAGTCAGCAGCTCAAAGAACATTTCAGATTCCATCCAGACCTGAGAGAACCCTAAGAACAAGAAGGTGAGGAAACAATAAAACCAATCAAACCAATCCCCACCCCCCACCCCAAAATGAGAGGGCTCGACCACCTCTGAAAGAGTTATCTAATGATAATGGTGATTGCTCATGGTGATAATTTAGCTGTTCCTCACAGGCTCGAGGCACCAGAGAAGCCCAGTGCAGACCCACCTGCTCCCTCCCCTCACAGCCCAGCCTCAGACCAGCGCTCTCCCACCTCACTCCCCTTCCTCTTTCCCCATCACCCCTCCAAGCGACAGCCCCCCAAGCAACAGGACCCCAGCCCTCCCTCCTCACTCCA